CACCTGATCCAGCCTTAACTATAAGCTTTATCAAAGAGAAATGTCTTAAGCCTACTCTTAAATGTGGAGAGGGTGTCTGCCTCCCGAACCAAAAGCTAGTTACACACAAGAGGAGTTTGGTGGTTTGTAGGCGAGGAGGAGGATTTTAAATTATATTCTGAATTTTACAGGGAGCCAGTGCAGAGAACCTAAAAAAAAACGAAAATACAGGAAAAATATGAACTTTTTTCTGAGTTCCTTTTTTTCCGAGGGCAGCCTGATAATGAGGAGTTGCAGTAATCCAGTTTAGAAGTAACAAATGCAGGTCTAGTTTTTCTGCATCCGTCTGTCTGATTTTTGAAATGTTATGTTCGTGAAAAAAGGCAATCCTAGAAGTTTGCTTTATGTGGGAGTTAAAGGACATATCCTGATCAAAGATAGATAAAGATCTATCTTTAGATAAAGAGTTTTGGAGATGTACAAGAACTTCAGTTTTGTTTGAGTTTCAGAAAATTGTAGGTCATCCAGGTTTTTATTTAGATAACTGATTAATTTCATCAGGCTTGATTGATAAATATAACTGGGTATCATCTGCATAACAGTGAGAGTTAATGGAGTGATTCTTAATAATGTTGCCTAAATGAAGCATATATAAAGTGAATAGAGTTCACCCTTATGGAACTCTTTAGTGTGCATGGAAGATTCATTATTAACATGTACAAACTGAGATTGATCTGATAAATAGGACTTGAATTACTAGATTTGAATAAAAAAAAGAGCTGCCATAAAATGTACTTAAAGACCCCTTCCACTATTTTTTTCTTCGTTGTCCTACAGCTGACTGTTTAAGCTTCACTGTACAGAGGGGCGAAGCAAGACATAATAAACATTTGGGGTTTAGAAAACTTTAGAAATGATTTGCATATTCAGAGATTCTGGAAGTTTTAATGAGGTAGGAGCAGGAGATGACATTTTAAGGATTCTAATGTTAAAATTACACTTTCTTTTCTAGAAAAAACATACCAGACACACATTACTGTTCCAAACTGACATTTGTATTGTGTCTTAATACATTTTTGGAGGTGATCTTTATATAAAAAAAGACAATGAAGGTTTTTTTTTTTTTTTTTTTACAAATGAATGTAGTCATTTTCCCTTTACACGAACAATGAGTTAAAAACAGAGCGAATGGTGTTTTCTCTTATCTGTGTTATTATGAATGAGCAGGTGAGTGGCAGCATGAGTAGCATTTACCCTGCAGACTTTGGGGACATTGAAGTCCAGGGGAGCCTCCAGTTTGCTGTGAACTACATTCAGAAGCTTGGAGAGTTTCATGTCTTTGTGGTACACTGCAGGGATCTGGCAGTGGCAGACACCAAGAAAAACCGCTCTGACCCGTAAGTGCAATGTTATATTCTGTATGGTGATAATTGTGAAACAACGGTTTGAGAAAGGAACGAGGCTGAAACATGTTTCTTTTTCCAGGTATGTGAAATGTTACCTTCTTCCTGACAAAACAAAGCTGGGAAAGAGAAAAACCAATGTAAAGAAGAAGACCTTAAACCCCACCTACAATGAAATCCTCAGGGTAAGTATTCCATATTTAGTCTTTTACAGATTCCTTATTATATGTGTTGCATATTTTACACATTTTTGTTGCATTCCTCTCATTTCATAGTTTAAAATCATGATAGAGGTGTTGAAAACTCAGAATTTGAACATCTCTGTGTGGCACAACGATACTTTTGGGCGGAACAGCTTCCTGGGCGAGGTGGACCTGGATCTGTCAGAGTGGGACTTCAGCAACACACAGATAAATGAATATGCATTAAAACCCAGGGTAAAGACTTCAGTTCTCTACGCAGTCTGCATATTGTAGAAGCGATTTGATAGACTCACCTCAGCTCAAACTTTCAGGTCTTAGAACACACTTTGCTGTCCATCGGACATGAGGGAGAAGATGTCAGAGGACAAATGAGAGTCGCCTTGAGATTCCTGCCGCAGACGTCCCACAGTGAGCTGATGGCTCTTCAGTTTTTTATCAGTTCCTTTCTCTCAGTTTCATCACTCATGACACTGACTTGCATCTGCAGGCAAGAGAACATCAAGGATGGAGACTGGTGAGGTGCAAATTTGGGTGAAAGACTGCAAGAATCTTCCTCCAGTCAGAGGAGTTATTATCGACCCGTTTGTGAGATGGTAGGAGCCAAAGGACTTAAAATTCCATAAATAAACATTATGAAGTGATCATTACAAAATACATAACTTTCACTAACTGAAACAAAAAAAATATATTTAACTTATTCTGAAATGTTGTATCACCACTAAGAGAGTTTATTGCAGATCTTTCTTTTTTATTCCAGCAGTTTTTTTTACTTTCATATAACTGCCAATCACAAAAGACTAAAAACAAAGTGACATTGAAATTAAATAAATTGATATAAACTGCTTGAATAATATCTTAATGAACTGCAATACACTTTAGTACACTTTCAGTAGCAGAATGAAGTAACATTTCATAGTAATGAGTTGACTTTTGAAAATGTAAAAATAAGTGTATTATTTAACACTTACTATTAACTTTGTACACGTCGTGTTTCCATACCTGGCTAGGTTTTTGTCAGGTCAGTCCAAATGAATACATTTTAATTTTTATCTCCTTGCTTTCCTTCCCGATCAAGCACCGTACTTCCCGAAACAAGCCGTAAAAGCCGGCAGAAGACGCGGGTGGTGAAGAGAACGGCCAACCCGATGTTCAACCACACCATGGTGTACGACGGCTTCCGACCGGATGACCTCAGAGAGGCCTGTGTGGAGATCACGGTGTGGGATCACGACCGGCTGAACAACCACTATATTGGCGGTCTGAGGCTCGGGCTGGGGACAGGTGAGAGTCCACTCCATTGTTACTATTTTTAACATGGTTCCACCTACAGTCTGAAAGCTTTTGATACGAGTTTGAACTCATTTCCCCCTGGAGTGTGATCTGAATTTGGATACACAGTTCATCTTTATTGTCCCATATGAGAAAATTCTTTTTGCAGCAAGGTCGCATAAAAAAACTGTCAGAAAAATATATAAAAGGAAATGATAAGCTTGGTGGCATACGATTCCAATGGATTACACAATTTGGAACCGGTTCTCAATTCCCATCTCTATGCCTGCAGTTCCACTTCTTACCCTGAAACAATCTCTGACAGAGCCGTGATTTTTTTACGAAGTCAATTACCATAGCTTTGGGTTTTAGAAATGCTCACACTGAGAAAATGATTATTACACCATTGTGCAAGGCCCATGTGATGAGTCATTTCATGACAATAATGACAATGACAATAACTGTGAATTTCAGAATGTGCCCATCCTTGTATGACTCCTACAGTCAGTACAGGATGTAGAGAGGGAACAGTAGGGACAGGATACGGCTCTGTGGGGAGCCTGTGGAGGACAAACAACCCACTGAGGTCTAGAATTGTGGGTACAATGTGTGATCTGAGTTTTGATATTCTGTCTGGATAATGAGCACACATTACATTTACACTACTGTTTACACATTGGTGTCCTCTGGAGATGGTATATTGTGTGCATTTATGTAATCCCTTTTACTCTATACACTACAGTATAACATGCAGACTGCATTTTAACACCAGGTGGAAAAAGTCTTTGTTTCTGCCTCACATTCAGAACATTCAATCATTGTAACTTGCAGTTATTACCTTCATTTTGTGATTTCTGTGCCTTTCTGTGCAGGGAAGAGCTACGGGGTGGATGTGGTTTGGATGGATTCAACAACAGATGAAGCAAATTTATGGCAGAGGATGTTACAGTCTGATGGTGAATGGGTGGAGGATGTTTTACCTCTGAGAATGTTGGTGATGGCAAAAAGCAAGTGAGATCGTATAAAATGCGCTGATGTGTGTGTGGAAACTTAAAGCTGCAGTAGCTCATTCTTATAAAAATATGTTATGTCATATTTGCTGAAACTT